TTTAAGTGCCTTCAGGCCTTCAAGGGTCTTGGCGCGGCTTTAAGCACCTCTTTAAGCGAGATGACGCACAGGCCTGGAAACGGCCCAGCCAAAGGCAAAGGCAAAAGGCAAAAGGCAAAGCCAAAGGCCAATGCAGTGCCAAGGCCAAGGCCAAAGCCAAAGCCGCACTTAAGAACAGGATGACAAACTTCTCCACCAACCGTTCCTAAACACCTTGAAAGTGCCCTAAGCTGATGTGGTTCAGTCTTGGGCACATGAGTCATGTGCGGTCTCGGCGTGCAACTGGGTGGGCGCTGAATATACATGAATACACTTGTTGACATTCAGAATGAAGGGTGAAGGCTTCCTCCACTTTACCGTATGCCCGGAATCGTGAGTCTCGAAGAGCATGATGTTCACCAACATGCGCGCCATGCAGCTTCCAAGGATTGCCATTTTGACCGTCGCGTACCAGACGGAGATGTACAGCTTGCTAAGTGAAGTGGAGGAAGCAGCTATCCAAGCAGGCAGTACACGGCCACTGCTCCTCCTTGATGCGCCTGGGCCAAGTTTGGCGCAGCCATTGTGTCTGCAGCTCCTGGAGCACCACTCCTGGATGCCTGTCGGCTCGGGGTGCCGTGCCCCTTCCAGGGAAGACAAAGACCATGGGAATATTTTTAAGGTAGGCGTTCGGCTCGAGATCTCCGCGGATTGGGCTTGCTGGAGAAAAATGGTAGCAGACAGGGGGAAAATGCTAGCAGAGGGAGGGGCGAGGTAAGGAGAGGTTGGAGGTGGGGGGAATAACTTGTCAAACAGCACGTCTCTGGCTTGGGATGGGAGTAGACACAGTCTGCTTTTTCTAAGCACGCCACAGTTTCTTGTACATGCCCTGCTTCTCTAGACAGGAAGGGGTTGCAAACCATGTTTTTGCTATCGAATGCTCCCCGCGCCTACATAAAGGAAACTGTGGAAGGGAGTAGGCGTGCTTTCTATGAAGCTATTGAAGAAGCGAGGCCGAGAGGAAATGGAGTAAAATCTAAAAGGGTGCGGCCGATGTGTGCGAGAGCGTCAGGTTGGACCTGGACCGATGGAAAACCCTGGTTTCCTTTTTAAAGGGGAGCACCTGCCCTCATCGTTTGCTGCTTCTCTCCGTTGCGTTTGCTGACCCGGGGTGGGGGGGGGGGTGGGTAGGTGGGTGGCAGTGATACTCCGATGGCGCGGTCGGTGATTTCTACCTTCGTTGTCTGAATGTGGCCGTAGCGTTTGTTGAGTATTCATTGATATGGCTCTTTGGCCCTGATGTTCCAGTCATGCGGCTGATCACTTCTGGCTTAGTGCTGGAAAAGTTTGCCACTCTGTTGGACGTGTCCTCTGTGTTGGTGAATGTGCCTTCCATGTTTGCTGAACGTCGCGGTATGTTTGCTAATCGTTGCCTCCGTGTTGGTTGAAGGTTGCGGTCGTGTTTGTCAATCTGTTTGTTGAATGTGGGATTGCCCGCAGCCTCGCAGGTGACTTCGAAGCAGTTGGTCCGCTTGCAGGAGATACCGAGAGATGCTGCCTTGATCCACTATGGTTATGAGGTGGGCACGGTAGCCGGAGCACGGCAGGAGTAGCTGCTAGCAGTTCTGCGGACAGCACTTGGTCACGTAAAGTGTCAGTTGTACACGTGGTGCCAAGGTGGCCTCGACCTGGGACAGGCTTAACCAGACAGTCAAGGAATTCCACCAGTCGCACAAAGACCTCATGCTAGGAGCGTCTGTTGAGTTGGGCAACGGGCGCTTGCTGGCCATCATGAGCTTAAAGCGTGTGTCCAATATCTGCCTAATTCGCATCATGCGGGACGTGGAGAATGAGGCCTCAATGATGGAGTTAGCTGCGTACCGAGGGGCCAGTGGACAGACAGAGGCTTTCAGCGAGCTGGACCGGCTTGCCACAGTGGCCAGTGAGCACATGGTTGAAGCTGCCCAGAGCTTCGAGCGATATTATGACAACCTCAACTTGACGTGTTCAGATGTGGCTTTGACCGTCACCGACTGGCAGCTCCTCATGGCTGAAGCCTACGGCCTATGCTCCCTTGCGCGCAAGGCTGTGGCCGAGTTCGTCTTGCAAGACCAAGGGGAGATCTTGCCTGATGTGCTGCAGCGGACAGCGACAGCTTTGGAGGACTCTTTTGTGAGCCTCATGCTGGGAAGGTCTATGCCTCACCTCCCAGCACAGCCCTCACAAGAATTGTATTCAGACGTTCGAAACCTGGACGGGTTGGTTCACAACTTCCTGGATGCGGTTCGAGGTCAGACATCCTCCGGGCTTTCCGGCTTGGCATCTTCCGTCTGCAGTGCAGCAGACGGCCTTGGAGAGAAGTATTTGCAAGGAGGCCTGGTCGCCGATCCCGGCTGGCCTGGCCGCAGAGTGAGGGTGCTCTTCCAGCAGGCGGTGCGTGCCTACAAGGTTTATAGTTCCATGGTCCAGAACGAAGCCGCGGAAATGTGGGCTGCCATTGAGGAATTCGAGAGTGCGCATGCACAGCTCCTCTCCGGGGGTGGAGGCTTGACGGCAATTTTGCCGGAGCGGCAAGACATGCAGGCCCAGTGGGATGCTATTGAGGCAGTTTGGCCTGCTTATAAACAGGCCGTGACCACCGGCGAGAGCACTGGACAGATTGCGATGACTTTAGGCCAAGTGCAAACTCAACTTCAGTCTGCAGTCGCCGTTTTCGACATTCCTGATGTTATTGCCACAGATACTTCACCTTGGAGCCTTGGACTGCTTTGCGAAATCGGTACTTTTCCTTTGTTGTTGAGGAGATTGCAGTTTCTGTCACAGAGCAGATTTCACAGTAGCTCGGTAATGCGCAATTTTTGCAGCGAGGATCTTCGTGGCAACGTATGGGGCAATGGCCCTGATCTTGCTTTGTTGCTCTGCGTGCGGTTGCCGCTTGGCCTTCCTGGTATAGGGCAAGAACGTTTTGATTGTACATGATGGCGCCTCCGTGTATCCCATGCCCTTTGTGTGATGCTCCTCGCAAAGGCTACATGTACCGGGCTGCTAGCCGCAGCAAGGGTGTGAAGGGCAGCGGCACGGACTCAATGGCCTCCCAGGCGTAAGAGATCGTGAGACTGCTCGTGTCCGTTGTAGAGGAACAAGTAGAAGTACTGTAGTCAAGGGAAGGAAATGCCTTCGGCACCAAGACCTGGACTTAGGACAGCAGACAAGAGCGAATGGCTGGATTGTGGCTCTTAGTATATCCCTGCCCCCCACCGCAGCCTCGCAGGTCAAGGTGTCAAGGGATTCTGCCCCCAAGCCGTGCAGACCCGGTGCCGCATTCGGGTGGACTGACTAGGACAGGCTGAGGCATTGAAGCGGCAAAGGCTGTCCAGGCCTGATCGTGTTGAGCGAAATTACGCATCAACGGCCGAACTTTGCCTCGTTGTCCGGGGGTAGCACGAGCCGGGCGGACTATTTAGATTCTCTTGCCATTCTTCAGGCCCAAAACCTAACAAGCCTTCGGCTCGCGCTGCAGACATGTATAGTCGATCTCGACCAAGGTGCAAGCAACAGTTCCATGAGGGACCTGCCATGGATTGCATGACACCAGCGGGGCTTTATTCGTGTTGATAGCATGAGCCCTACCCAGATCGTGCGCGTGGAGCGTGCCACAGAATGCTTGCAACTTTGTGCCGTGTGGATAGGCGCTATTCGGCCATTGCTCTAGTGCTATGTTTGTCGTTCCGTCAAAGATGGGGACGAAGCCTGCGTTCTCACTACACAGTTTTCTCCGAAATCGCGACGCCCTGTACGCACAGGGTGTGATGCGTTGAAAGCATGGCCCCAGAACACAGCCCACTCTTCTTTGTTCATGTCGAGGACTGATTGAAAGTACAGCTTGACTTCAGTGCTGTGAAGAGATCAGGTCTTCTCAAAAGGGTCGCCCGATGCCTGAGTTTGGCCTCCACACAGGGAGTGAGCAGCAGGCAACCGTCGTATCGCGGCAGGCCTCCGGGTTTGTGTCGCTACTAGTTTCTGTCCGCAACATGCGTGAGCTGAGCGACTGAAGAGAAGCTACGGTTACGTTGCTCAGAAGTAGTCTTGCAGAAGCGGAGGAGCAAGAGGTCGTGCCGAGGTAGATGAAATCACAGGCCGATATTGTCCGACCCCAAACCAAGATAAACCAAGCCCAAAAGCCAAGTAACCAAGCTGGAGGCTTAAAGTTCGGGTAGCATGGGCGTAGTTACCCACCCCGCCAAACAAGTATGACAAACAGACTTGCAGGAGTCACGCACTATGTAATCACTTATTTCATACTTTGAACATTGAACTTCATCTTTATGTTCCGATAAGTAGCTTGATGATTATAATTCGCTTCACGCACCACCAAGCAAAACGAGCACAGCAAGCGAAGACGCACCAAGAGGCAAGCTTCCGCACGTTACGTGAGGACGCACCAAAAAGCCAAGCAACGCCATAACATGCTGTAAGCGAAGATGCACAAATAAACAAAACAACCGCGCATAAGCAGCGAGAATGCGCCAAAAAGCCGAAGCAACCGCAAACCGCACAGTACGCGAAGACGCGCCCAGAAGCAAAACATGCGTCTGTAGTAAGCGAAGACACACCAAAGAGCAAAACAATCGCACAGTGCGCGAAGATGCACGAACAAGCAAAGCAAGCACATATATGGTCCAGTGCTCCCCGGCCCCCCCCTCCCCCCCCCACCCATGGTCTGGAACCCCCCCCCCCTGTGGTGTGGTTGGGGGTTGGTTTTAGGGTTAGGGTTTAGGGTTTAGGGTCAGGATTTAGGGTTTAGGGTTTAGGGTTTTAGGGTTTAGGGTTTGGGTTTAGGGTTTAGGGTTTGGGTTTAGGGTTTAGGGTTTAGGGTTTGGGTTTATAGGGTTTAGGGTTTTAGGTTTAGGGTTTTTGGTTTAGGGTTTAGGGTTTGAAAGGTTTTAGGGTAAACCCCCCCCCCCCCTGTGGTGTGGTTGGGGGTTGGTTTTAGGGTTTAGGGTTTAGGGTTTAGGGTTGGTTTAGGGCTGAGGGTTTGACAGGGTTTAGGGTTAGAGACGGTAGACCTGGAGGGGGAAGGGGGGGGGGGGGGTAAACGCCTCACACACATGGGTTTCCCCGAGGGCGCGCTCCGTCAACCGAACACAACACTCAAAACACGGGTTTTGGCGAGGGTCGGCCGCCCCCCCCCCCCCCCCTACCTGACCATACCATGGGGGGGGGGGGGGGGGGCCGGACACGCCAGACGCCGGACCATATATAGTGAGCGAAAACGCACCGATAGCCATAACAAACGCGAGTCGCACAACCGCACATAGGAAGCAGTAACAGGACCACTCTGCCAAACACTCACAACAGTCCTTTCTGTCATTATTTGAAGACGCGCCAAGAAGCAGAACAACCACACAACAAGCGAAGACCCAACAAGCAAACCGACCGAATAGTAGACGAAGATACATCGCACCAAACAAACCAAACCCACCAATAAGCCGGCGAAATGACCGTAACCAACCACACATAGTAAGCGAACGCGCGCCGATAAGCAAAGCAACCATAGAAAGACTGCGGAGGGTACTAAGAAGAAAAGCAACCGCACATAGGAAGCGAGGACAAAACCACCAAGCAAAACAACCACATAAATTATTCAGCGAAGACGCACTACTAAGCAGCACATTGTTCATCCAAAAACATCTCGGCGTTCACCTTCAGCTCGTTATGCCTTGCGCCAGCCGCTCTCGGAAAAGCTTTGCGTGACAGTTGCGATCGGACGTGGCCGATTGCATTCCCCTGCGACTATGACAAAGTCATGGTGGCAGACTGCTCGCATATTGATAGCAAATACCGAGGCTCTTGTGTGTGTGTGTGGGTGCTGCAGCAGTCAAGGTGTTTTTGTTAAAGGTGACACCTTACCCCCTAAACTTTCCTGAAAGCACCCTCAACTCCACGCCCCCTTAAGGGCCTGCTGAGTTTGTCTTGCACATGGAATCTTCTATGCCAGGAAATGTCTGCAACTGCAACGCCCTAGATGCCTCTTGGTGCTCCCGAAGCCTTGAAGCACGACGGATTACAGCCCCAATGAGCTGCCTTTGCTGACTTTTGTGGGCAGCCGGGCTCAGGCCGCTCGGGCTGAACCTTGCCAGCAATTTTTTCACGGCCATGGCCATGAAGGGCTTTAGGCATGTATTGACCTTGGCATGTGTGCAGTTGGCAAGCGCAGCTTGCCCTTCTCCTGGTGTGGTTGCGGGCACCAATTTCTCGGAACCTCAGTGGAGAGAGACTATCGACACGGCACGGCGACAGGGAACTCTATCCCAGAAGATGACCAATGAGTTTCTTCTCATCGCCCTTGGCATCGATCCGGAAGCGAATAAGCAGAAGATGGAGGCTACCCTCAACCTTTATGGTGCCACTCTCCAGGCTTTTATGCGCGGAACTAGCAGCGCACAAAATGCAACAGCGGATCTGCCCGAAGACGTGGTGAACTACTTGCAGGAGCAGGTTCTCCCTGTGTACACGTCCATGGCTTCTCTGCTCCAGGAGAGCGCAGGAGCGCCCGACGCGTCAGCGCTTAATGCAGCTTGCCGATCCATCGATATGACTCAAGGGCTTCACGGATTGTTTATGATTGTTTAGTGACTTCGTGGTACTTATGGGTCAGGGCTGTGTAGACCCTAGCGGGAATCTGTTACACACGAGGGTCTGGACTGCTGTTTAGAACTTCACCTTAGCGTTAGTTACGTGTGATTTCGTGACCGTCTTCCGCAGCTCCAAAGCCCCCGGGTCGCCTGTAACACCTAGGCACTTTTCGAGCAGAACATGGCACTGGTTGATGTCTCGAACAAGGCGGTAGAGCTGTTGACTCAGGCCGTGCTGGGGTTGGGTGACAGGCTCCTGGGGGGGTAGAAATACGTTTCAGGAGGAAATGGGTCTCACACATTCCCTCCTCTCGAAATGACCAGCCTCGAGGCCACAGAGGCCGGTCGCTCTGCTGGGCCATTGGCGGACGTTGTTGGTCGACAGCGCAGCCTTATCCAACAGATGCTCAACAATGTCCCCTAGAGAGGATTTGGCTTTGAGATTAAATTTGCTCTCAGCTTTAATGGACTCTGGGTTTAAGGTTTACGACGTTCGGCAGTTGCAATGCGCACAGCACTGCTGTACGAGGTTCTCTTCACTGCCCTGGGAGTTTCCGTTGACGCCAGCGTCGGCGCGCTAAGGAGCGACTTTGCTGAGAATCAACACGGAATGGTACGCCGTTGCGGGTGTTTTCAGGTTCCTGTTTTGAAGGGTTTTCTTTAACTCTTTTTGTTTTTAAAGTGCATCGCGTGTCTTAGACCTGTCCCCCACCAAGACAGAGGGCGAAATCAAGCGTTTAAATTCTATATTACATATCACATTCTATACAATATACAATGTTCTGCTGTGATGCAGTATTCTACCTCTGGCAGAAGCTTGACACTCTTGTTCTGCACTGTTGGGCTATGCTGCTCAAGGCAGCACGACAGTCCCCAGACTGTGCAGTTGTCAACAGCCATGGATTGCGCTACGGAAATGTACATGCAGAAGAGTTCCTGGAACCGTCAGCTGCGAAAAGTCCGCCACGACAGACGGCTACATGCTCAAAAGGCTGATAAGGCAATGATTCAGAAGTTGAGTGAAGAGCTACAATCAGCAGTGGTCATGATATATTCTTTTCGTCTGGAGCTTAAACAGTTATGTTCCATCTACTATATACTATATACTTTTTACTATATACTATGTACTAACTATTCGCTACTATATATACATATATACAGCATATATACATATATACATATATACTATATATACTATATGTACTATATTTTTCGTTATAGGCTATCGACTATATACTATATACGATATACCAGATACTATATACTATTTTGTGAAGTCGACCAACCCGGTCTTGCACTAAGCAAATGCAAACACGAGCGGCCACGCTGCTTTTGACTTCGCGGGAACACCAGCTCAGAAGGTGCCCTACAGCCAAGCGTCCGGTCGGACCGCTCCGCAACCTTAAAGCTACAGAACGAAACTACCGAGCACAAAGCTACAAGTCTACTCGCATACTTGAGCCAAAATATTGGCATTGATTCGACTTGCAAAACTATACATGCAAAGGAAAACAACGCTTCAGCAGTGGCTACAGAGCACATGTTCCATGTGTGCTTCTACCTGCTCACATTCGCCCCTCAGCCGAGGCTCCCAGCTATGTCAAGCTGAGCACATCGTGCATCATGCACTCGCAGTGTCTGGAAGGAGGGAAAGGGCGAGGGCGTCGCGTGCGCCTCTGGTAGAGCCCGCACATCAAGAGCATTGGCATGCGGCTTGGGCGGCAGCCCGCGCTACCCAACGAACGCACGACGACAGCGACCCTCCGCAGCCCTTAACAACCCTGACACTCCTCACCTTTTGGCTGGACGGCGAGGCTCCAAGACACGAGCAGGTTTCTACAGCCGGTGCTGAAACTATGGTACAATTGGTACACTGTACACTACCGGTCCTAAGCTACGGCTACGGCTACTCACCTATCCAGAACTACCCTACGGGCTACCGGACTCAGCGAGAGCCGCGCACATGGCTTGTGCCGCAGGCAATGCAGCTCATTGTCCGCCAGGTTCCACCAATCCCTGGGCAAATCATCCAAGGTGGCGAACTTGTCCCGCCCGCCCTTGCTCAACGGGAGCGTGTGCTGCTGCACCGCGGCCCGTCCGGCGGCGCCCGGGGCGCCCGCCAGGACGCCTGAGCTGCCGATCTGGATACTGAACGCGGCGAAGGGATTTGACATGGAGGCACCGGAGGGGGGAGCCCAGTTAGCAGGCAGGGCTGGCGACACTCCGCTGGTGGTCAGGTTGTGGACCATGTCACAGTTGGCCCCCTTCTTGCACGACCCATTCTTGGAGAAGAAGGGGCACACTGTGCCTGGTGGCTTCGCCGCGCCTTTGGCCGCAGCTTTCGCTTTGGCTTTCCGCTTGCCACCGCCCTTTCCGTTGCTAGCCTTGAGGCTCTTGATCTCCTTCTGAGCCTCTGCTAGCGCGACCGCCGGGTCCGCGCTCTGCGAACCGGTAGCCGAGTACACAGCGTGAGAGACAGCCCTGTGAGCGGCTTCTCTCTGCTCGTACTCCAGAACGACCTTGTGGCACTCCTCCCAGGTCTGCGGTCCTCGCAACCCGCCATCCTTGGGATCTCCAAGCCACAGCCTCTTGTCGTTCCTGATTTCTTTCTGAAGATACGGGGGCATTTTCCTAAGGTAGGAAAGATACAGCTCTCGGGGCGTCTTGCCTAATCCGACCGCCTCCAGATCTGCAATGGAGGCCTCGAACAGAGGCTCAAACTGATGCCCGGTGAGCTTGCCTTTGGTGAGGGCGGCATGCTCGCCATCTACCCGCACCTCCCGCTCTTCGCGTGATTCGCCGAACATGAGATGCTTGTTCTTGATGCGATCGTAAACTGCTTGTGGGTCGGAGAGCACTTCTCCTGACTTCCACACCGCGCGGTACGCATTGGTGAGGTCTTCATGCGTGAACCGCGGCAGCGCCCGCGCAAGGCAAGCAGCTTTTCCCGCGCACTCATGCCGCGGCAGTTGTTGGCGAGAGCGCAGACATCCTCGAACTCCTCGTAGAACAAGACTACGTCTCGCGCGTCCGACTTGTCGTCGGTCAACGTCGGCCACGTGAGGTCAGTTTTGACCGTAGTGATCGAGCTCTGGCCCCCTCTCTGAGCAAGCGCCTCTTTCAGCGCCTCAGTTTGGGCAGCGAGTGCGGCGGCAAGATCGCCCGCCGGGTGTTGGGACCCGGTCTGTGAGCCTCCGCCGTCTGAACCTCGCTTGAGGGCTTCTATCTCCATCTCTAGCGCAGCAAGCTTCGCACGCAAGGGGGAATCACCATCCATCGCGCCAGGGCCGCGGGCCGCAGATGGGACACCCCTACCTACACCACCTAAACCCTGGGCAGTGCGCAAACCACCAAGGCACGGACCTGCTCCCGGCTCACCTGCTGCTGCAGGAGGAGCTGGTCCCGGTGACTGCGAGCCGACGACAGGCCCCGCAGAGACGTCGGACGGTGAACTCCAGACCTTTTCCTTACTGGAGCTCTCCTTTCCCCCGAGCGCGAGGATAAGCTCCCCGATGCACTTAGATCTCTTGCTGATTATTATCATGTGCATCGTCGGGATCCTCGCCAGTGCGTAGTGCCGCGACCGAGAATCTGGTCCGCAGGCGCCGGACCATTTTGGTGGGATGCCAATCGCCACCCACTTGCCCGAATTCATCGGCTAAGATCGTGGCCTTAGTGCTCAAGACATCCAGAGCACCGGCGTCCACCACGATACCATGCGCCCGCGCCGGCTCCTGGTCGGGACGGTGCAGGGCGCGCAAGTCCGCCTGAAGGCTCTCGGCGGTGCCCGGCACGGACCCCGCTGTCGACGGCGGACCGGACGGTCCCGCCTTACGGGACCCCGGCGTCGAACCAGGCACGTAGGCCGCACCCGTGGGCACCATAGCGAGTTCGCCTGCCGCAGCGTGGACACCCGCCCGCGGTGGCGGATCCTCTACCACGCCGGCAGCTTCCGGGATCAACTCGCTATCCTCTCCCTCCTCCTCGTCTTCTTCATCTTCTTCGGCTCCAACGTCATGCAGAAACTGCATGACGCTACGCCAGAGAGCGGCCTCCTGTTCGGGCGTCGTACTGATGCCGTCACGTCTTGTCACTGGCCGGCTACCTGTGTCCTTGCGCCATTTGAGCCAAGTGACATAGGACATCCGCTCTGGATAAGGGACGTCTCCGCTCTCTATAGCCTGGAGGAGAGTGACGCCTTCTGGTTGGCCTGCTACCTCTGAGGACATGGCTGCGTCGCGCGGCGAAACGCCGCGCCTTGGTAGTCAGGCCGCAGGCGTGGAACACAGTCCACGCGTCCAGGACACGGACCGCGACGGACAAGCAAAGCAATGCTTGCCCACTCGGGCCGTAGGCACAAGAGCTGAACTATTTCCCAGAACAGCCTTGTGAAGTCGACCAGTCACTGGTCTTGCACAAGCAATGCAAACGCAGGCTGGCCACGCTGTTTTACGACTTCGCGGGATCACCAGCTCTGAGGCGCCCTACGGCCGAGCGTCCGGTCGGACCGCTCTGCAACCTAAAAGCTACAGAACGAAACTACCGAGCACAACGGCTACAAGACTATCTCGTACTTGAGCCAAAATTGGCAATCAACTGAATTGCAAAACTGTACATGCTAAGTGAAAGCAAACTACCGCACTGCAGCTGAGCACATGATGCATGTGTGCTGTGACCTTCTCACAATATGTTATATATTATATAATATATAATATATATTATATATTATATATTATATATTATATATTATATATTATATATTATATATTACATATTCTATATCATATAGTATATTATATATTATGTATGGTATATTATATGTTATATGTTATATGTTATATGTTATATATTATATATTATATGTTGCATATCGCATATTATATCTTGTATATATTTTATACACAAAATTGTGTATTCAGAAGGGCCTGCCATGGCGCTTCTAAACATTGCACTATATGTATATATGTATACATCAGTGCAGATATGGATATGGTGGCCCCCGCAACGTCACTTGTGGCGGTTCCCGTCGTCGCTTTTGGCGGTTGAGCTTGCCGAATTCACTTGCTCGGCTTTCCATCCACGCAAAGCCTCGCCAGGTGGTCTGTAGGTCTGTGGTCTTTTCTGCTTCGGCGTGTATGTGCTTCAGTCCCCTCGAGATTTGAGATTAAGAGGTTTGTGCCAATGACTGTTCATGTCTGCGAAATCCCCAACCGAAAGATTGCCTGGAAGCCGACTTGAACCATCAATGCGCCTGCAGCTTCCATCCTGCACCCGAAAGTTTGAACCCCAGACCGGCCAGTTTGATAGCTTCAAAGAAGCACCCCCTGATCCCCCTCAACAAGGCAATCAGCGCCTCTTCGAAGATGCGCACAATGCCATTATACTTGGAGCAGAGTGGGCCTCCATCCCTCGCTTGGAACGGTGCGAGGGGTCAGGGTGTGCAGGGCTGGCATGGTAAACTGTAGGTTTACATGCTCATATACTTTATAGGGCCTGTATGGGGTGAAAGCAAGTTAAAGCTACACTTCATGGTCAGAGCCCCCAGGCGAGGGTGTGATTTGGATGCATGTTCTGAAGCCCGAAGGTTGTGCACGATGCATCAGATGAGTGAAGTCACCTACTACTACCAGGTGGGCTTTGGAGTGGTAGAATCTCCGGAATCACAAGCTTGTCAGCTCTGCACGAAAATCAAGTCCCCACCTTAGCCCAGCAAATGCCGCCAAGCAAGTTTTTCCGTCGAGGCATTTCGCGGTCCTGTGCGGGCAATGCTCAGCGTTTACGTGGCAGATTCGATGGCATTGGCTGCCCACCTTTAAACTTGGAGTCACTTTGCAATGGTTGTCAGGCGCTTACGATGCGGGGGGTAGGGGTGGTGGTGCATGTGGTGCATGGATATTTTGCTTTGAGCTCAGTTATGCGTTGTCCGGGTGATCTACAGGTCCTGGTTGGGACTTTGTGCCAACACCAGCTCCATAAATATGAAGACCGTGATGCAGTCACAACTGCCTCTTGCAGCTCACAATTGTTATACAAAATCGTTCGGCATCGTGCTAGGCTGTAAGTACTAAGGCGGCAGCCGGTCAGAACCAAGTGCGTAGATGCATTAGCCACAACTTGGGTATTTCTAAGGTGGTATCATCAAACGCAGGGTCGCACCGCAAAACCAGCAAAGATGTTGCTGCCCACTGGGCAACAGTACATTTGTGATCAAGCACTGGCTGACCTCCAAAGGTTGATGATGCCATGTCTAGCTCGAGACTTCGTACGAAGGGAATGAGTTGACAGTGACAGTAATGCCTTCAGGGTTTCCGAGTTCAAAGGGTCTAAGGGAGATGTTGAGGCTGCTTCTTCTGCGAGAAACATGTCTGCACTCGCAGAGCCACTCGCAGAGGCGTGGGGACATGTGACACATGATCTTGTCCAGACACCCAGCTCTTCAACCCGTTTGCCTCCCGCAGCTCCCAGTCAAGAATCCTTGAAACCGACCAAGCAAATGGAACCTGCAGGAGGCATGCGGCGAGAGCCCGTGGCATTTTTCATTCCCGGAAAGAATCCAAAACGCCATCGCAACAACACGTACTTTCACAATTATTGGTCGTCAGTTGTCATGAGTCGTCAGGTTTAAGTATAGTTTAGTATGCTTGTCCTATAATAAATATGTAGAATGTACGGTTTTCGCTTGCAGTCGTTCATTAGCGCTTGTTAGCTTTTTATTTCGGTGTATTCATTCTGAGTACTTGTTCATTCGCATGTGTCATTATTTGTTCTTATTCTTGCTGTTATGTTTTTAGCTTTCTGCAAATTTTATGCTTCCCCAATAGTGAAAATTCGTAGCAATAGTTGTCGACCAGGGGCCCGCTTCATTATTATCACTCTTAACATCATTGTTATGATTGTTATTGTTATTACTGGTACCAAATAGCAACATTCCCCCCTTGCACGAGAAAAGCAGTAGCAAAGTTGTTTCCAGACCTCCTTGGGTACAACAAACCCATTTGTGCAAACGACAATGCTCGCATGCGCCCTGAAAGGCCATGAACGCCGCCGCGCAGTTGTGACTTCGGCTTAAAAGATGTTTCAATTGGGATTCCCCCTTAAACTAAGAGCCCTTAATAGGGATTATCGTACCCCCTATTATGATCCCTATTAAGGACTGTTAGTATAAGGGGCAGCATCCCAAAGTCCCAAAGTTTCAAGGTAGACCGCAAGCAAGTTAAACTCGAAGAATGGAGGTGTGTTTGTTTTTTTTGGCTCGCAGCCAGGTATGCGCATGATCCGGGAGCGTGTACTCCCCGTGAGCAAATGACATCCAGTACCTGGACTTTGATTACAGATAACATCTCAGTTTTTGGTGTGCTGGGAATGTTCGTTTGGATGCGAGACAAAAAGCAGAAGGTCGATGCACCATAGTGAGTATTGACGTTTGGGGTTTTGAAAGGTAGAAGGACCACCCGTGATTGAGCGATGCATGGGTTGTTTCAGCTCGGGTCCGGGTGCAATGAGAGTAATGAGTAGTTACCCCACCAAAGGCGACTGGTGGAATCTCATGAAGAACTTGGCGTCGCTGCAGCAGCGAGGTCAAGAGGCGCGCGAAGTAGGATGAAGTTGGACTGAAGAGATACAAAGATGTTGCAAGTCTAAACGCGTGCAGCAGGCAAGTCGGCGATGACGTTTAGCTAGGTTGCACGCCTGAGCAATGCTCAAGAGTAAGCAGCACGAGCAAGTGCTCTCTCACTGCAACTTCACAGGCTTAGCCTGCGATCACCCAAACTCCTTTAATCTCTCTGATGGCATATTTGTTCCCCCCTTCTTTGTTTCGCTGGTTGTGTCTGACTTGCTTGTGTGTTTGCTTCGGGCCCAAGTTTGGTTCTCGGGCAGTGGCTTGTGCCCAGGATGATGTCAGCCGCCTGATGCTGTCAGCTAGCTAAAACGCCCTTTGCTGTGCGTGTCTGCATGCCTGCTTGCTTGATCTTCAGGGTTCGGTTCCGTGACCTGGGTTGAGACTGTGAGCTGACTGTGCAATCGAAGAACATGCGCTGAAAGGCAGATTTACTCTACCGTCCAGCCTTTCAATCCGCGCATTGGCACTGCTCTCAAGAGTTGCGAATGATCGGTAGCATAGTTGTCGCAGGATACACATCTGGAAGCTCAGATAGACGTTTAATCCTCAGAGCGGAAATGTCCAATTCGTTGGACTGCAGTGACGGCTCGCGATCTCGTGGCTCCTGGCTCGTTCCTCTTCCTAAAGAGGGAAAACTGAACGACTTCGATGTTCAGCTCTTGGTATGAGCTGTGGCTCGCCACGGCTTGTTCACTTCTTTTCTTAAGGAAAGAAGCGCTGGTCTTCGTAGCAGTTCTGCCAGATTCTGTACTCTACTCCACTGCTAGTGCACATAACTCACAAAGACGAAGATCACGAGCTACCCCCCCCCTTCATGAAGCACCACAGCTTCTGGGGCTTTGTTCTTAAGTTCAACAACCTCCTCGACACCGGAGCTCCCAAACACCCGCCAAAAACGCAATACTTCCACGAGTACACTTGACGTCAGCACCAGCAGTCGACGCACCAAAGCGCCGCACAGGTCTATCGCCTGTACATGCAGATTGCCGCACCATCCCTTGTGGAGCAAGGCTGGGAGTGGTTCTGATGCCGGGCTTCAGGTATCCGCCACGGCGCTCCTATGGCTTTCTGGTTTCCCTCAGATCTCCTTGCCGCGTGTTATTGCCTGAACTTGTGAGCCTGAATGAAGGTCTAGCAGGATAGCGTAGGAACATGTTTTGGATGCCTTTGAATATGGACATCTGTAGAACAGTAGAACACGTCTGACCATATCCTGCGAAACGTTGCTTACCCTTCGCCCTGCGTCGCTGGTCTCTCTGCAAGTTTCCGCAGGCAAGGTGGACCTGGCAACGGCGGCGCCGGCCAGCATTCGTGAGACCAACGAGCTGAACCTTTGCCCGCGCCGAGTAGCTTCGACACGGGCTGTCGGGAAATCTCCTTGCTAATCAGGCAGCTGACGGTTGAGGATGTTCAAGGAATTCAAGGACTTGTCAAGGACTCACGTTACAGTGGCGAAGTGGCAGACCGAGATGCTGACCCCTGAAGCCTGAGTACTGAGGATCCAGGGATCCAGAGTCAAAGACATGCCTGCACCGCCCACGCAAGAGATTCTGTCGAGGCCTCGTGGCTGTGTTGTACTGGGCATTGGTTGAGGTATCTCTGCTGCTGCCTGTAGCCATAGGATAGCCACGGAGTTCTTTTAAACTTTGGCCAGTTTGTAAGATATGACAGAAGAAAATCTTGGGTTCACCCATTGGTCGGGTTGTCCCCTTCCATATCTCAATCCGTTCGTACTGATTTCAAGGAATCGGTTGAGATGAGTCGTGAGAAAGCGGGGGATTGCAATTGCAGCAGAACCCCGAAATCCCGTGGCTCCTTTGAGAGGCGGGGTCAATTCAGGCTCACCTGGTCAGCCGTCTCTGCCTCTTTGGTCCCTCTTGAAATGTTGGTTCGGTAGTTTCACACAACATTTCACACTGATGCCCGCCTTCAGCGTGCTGTGGAGAAGAGCATGACAAGAGCACTTGGCCAGGCTCTTGTCCTTGTTGGATGTCTTGGCCAACCTTGCACCGATGCTCGGTGTGCTTTTCCCACAGTACTCTCGAAATGCGAATGCTGCACACCAGGCCTTGTGAGTTCGTGAGAAAGGCCACGGTACCAGAACCAAGGATTCTGGACGAAGCCCTGGCCATGGAGTTCGTGCCCGATCCCTGTGCAAAATAGATGGGGGGAGTGGGCGAGGGGGTCAGGAGGAAAGCTCTCTAATTCCTGCAGCAATGGGCAGGGCCTTCAAGCACCCCGGTTAGCCTTTGCAGGCTGTGTATCAAATACAAATCTGGAGTTGAAGATGGCGACTTGTTGAGGGGAAGAAATGGGATGAGAGGATGGTCAGGTCTCATGCCGCTACATCGCAACACATTCTTCAAACATTGTCGTGACGACTCGCGGAGCCCAGGATTCCGATGTTGCCCGGGTGCACTACCTGAGCGAAGAGTTGTGGGCTTTTGTCTCGTCTCTGAAGCAGCTGGCCGGCATACTCCCCCCCAAAAGAAACCTCCCAGCTCCTCCCCAGCTGCGGTGGCAAACTTCCAAACTTGAGGGGTTGGCAGTCGACTCAGCTACTCCCTGTGTCCTCGTGTGGCATTGCGAAGAAGAAACGGCAAGCCAGCGTATGTAAATGCAACCATTATGTCACAAGGTTCCACCCTGCTGCGTCCCCAGTGCCTTTAGCGACATGTTGTGCTGCTGGATTTTGGTGCCTTCTTGTTCCTGATGACGGTCATTGCGGATTACTGGGGCATCGCCAGAATGGTTGCTTCTCTTGCTCTCCTCGTTACCCTTTTCCTCATGAGCCTGCTTCTGGGGGTTGCCGGAGAGCCTGCATCCCGTTCTGCCCTCGCCCAGGATGGATGTTCTGACCGAAGCCACAACAGTGACGGACGAGAAAATAGGCCGAGACCTTCCTATCCATGACGGTCGTGCGCGCACATGAGCTTTGTAGCACCTGTTTGCAGATGTTGGGCTGAAGGGCGTGGGGGGGGGAGAAAGGATAGCTGCGATCCGCCAGCCAAAGTGAGACGTCAACTCTTTCAGTCTTGACCCATCTTGCCAGGTCTCGTCGCGGTGGCCAGCGAGCAGATTTCTCTGATCCACCGGCTGCTTGGCATTCTCGCTGCGTGCGGAACTGCGGATCGAGCATGTCTACCATTATGATTCTTGCCGGATCCTGCAATGCGCGAGTTCGCACATATGTGCATGAGCAAATGCAATAGCTGGGTATATGGTAGAGCTAGGCGAGTTGAGAGTTTTCATGTTTGCAGTGATTATGGCTGCCTTTTCATTGTCCTAGCATTCTTCCGTGGACAGACGTCGCGCGTTGGCATGTTTGTCTGAATCAACCCGAAGCTCTAGAAAGTCTTCTGCCAAACTCACCTTTCACCCCCCAAAAAAACCTGGACGGAACCCTGCCGAGACCAACCGAACAGGATGCAGAGTGGGTACCAGCAAGGCACAACTCTCCAGGCCAAGCTTGTGGGCAACCTAGGGTTCAGAAACGAGAAGCAGAGAAGCAGGCCAGGCTCGTCGCGAGAAGTGTTTGCCAAGGGATGGATGTGGGCATCATGGCCCAGTCCACGTTGCAAGTGACAGCCCAGGCTCACCGCCGAAGCCTATGAAGCCGCTCGTGGCTACCATGTGGACGAGGCTGGGCTTGGATGTCGATCGACATTTGCAAGTTCTCTGCTGCTTGGGTTTGTATGCCGTGTTTTGTGCCGAAGCTCGCTTTAAAAGTTTTTCTGAAGAGCAGGCACGGCTGAAATTGAACGAGACCATAGCATCTTTCCACCTGACGCACAAGGACTCCTGGCAGATCCCTCTTGTCGACCCAGCCCGTGTCATGCTCGAAAGGTTGCATGCAGGCATGATGGCACGGCAGGGTCCACAAGTTTGCAAGCGAACCAAGGAAATCCTCTTGGGAGCTCCGGCCAACTCAAAACACACCGCCTTGCGCAGAGTGTCAAACATATGCGTGGTCTATGAGATGCTTGGCGACAGTTTGGGTTGGGGGCTGATGTTGAGCCCCAACCGCCCCCCAACTGAGTCTCATCCTCCACAAAAAGGCCCCAAGAAAGAAGGAAGAAAGAAAGAAACATGAAAAAGGGAAGAAGAAAGATCAGAAAAGTACGCGAGAGAGAGAGAGAGAGAGAGTAGCAGCAGGGACAACAGTAGACAGCTAGATGGTGCATCTTTACTACCCATGGAAACGGAGATCCCCCGCATTCCCTCATGCCCGGCAGCACATGCAGAATGAGACACAGAAGACAGAAACCGCAAACGCCCATCAAGAAAGAACGAGAGAGAGAGCGAGGGAAGAGTGGAAAAGCCATTTTGGCTCAAGGGAGCGGCTCGAGCCCCAGCCCCAGTGTCCGGGGGCAAACACAGACTGAGAGACCGCTGAGAGTAGGGGGAGCCTGAGAGCTGAAACTTTCCCCCAGCGCCATCGCCGCGATCCGAGCGCTTCTACCAGCTTGCAGCCCTACACGACCTCGAGCCGGGGGTCCTGACCTTTGACTTCGGTGGCCTCGGAGCACAAGGGTGACCGCAGCTGGCCTAGATTGTCCACTACCACCGCTGAGGCGTGCGGGGGAGTCTGCGCACCGCTTTGTGACGGGGGTCGGCGGCCTACGCGAGGGGTACACCAACGCAACGGAGGGGCACTTTCGAATCCTCGCCAGGGAGTATAACACCTCAGGGGGCGTGACTTGGGCAGCGACACCGTGGACAAAAACCATGTCTGGTGGAGGAGTGGGGGACATGTCGTTGTCGCCGGCTAAGCGAAAGGTAGCGGACGCTGGTGTGGATGAGCAAGGGGGGGTCTCGCTTGCAGCGCTTCAGGCAGAACTCCGAGCCACACCATCAGCACCATCAGGGGGGACCTGCAGCAAGCTGTTGGCGGGATCCAGCGTGAAATGGTGGATAGGATCGCCACAGTCGAGACGGAGGTCACCAAGCAACTGAAGACCACGCTCCAGCTCCTGCAGGAGCTCACCATGAAGCAGGACAAGCACAAGGAGGGGCTGGACAAGCTCGATGAGGGGCAGCATGTTTTGGAGGAGAAGGTTGGGACGATGAGCGTGCAGTACAAAGACCTCGTCGAGCGGGTGGAGAAACTTGAAAGCAAAGGATTCCAAGGGAGGCTGTCGGCCCAAAGCACGACGACCACTGAGCCGGACGGCCTGGGGGGCAAACGAGTCCCTGCTCTGATAGTGGGAGGCTGGAATGATGACACACCAGCGGGGGAAGTGATCGAGAAAGCTACCCGAGCCCTGCAACAACTCCAAGTGGATCTGGACTACCACAGCATGTTCGTGCCCGGGGTCCGACGTGGTTTTGGGCTGATTCCTTTGAAGGGCGCGAGGGAGGGGGAGAATGAGGAGGACTACAGGCAACGCATCCAGGGGGCGGTCACCAAAATCCGCAATGCGAAGCTGCAGACGGGGCACACCCGAGAGGACACGGGCCAACCCCGCTACATGTTCCTCGCGGTCTCGCAGCCTCCAGAGCGAAGACGCCGGGCCAAGCTTGCGGCCAAGGTCAAACGATGCGTATTGGAGCTCGGCGGGGAGCACGGGCGCTTGGAGGTCGAATTCGCCACCGGCACAGTCTGGTACCGGAGGCTTCGCGTATCCTCAGCCTCGATGCCCATGAAGGACGGAGCCGTGGCAGCTGGAGGAGGATGGGTGGATGTTGCGCTGATGGCTAGGGGGCTGAAGCTCACGCAAGATGCGGTCAAGCAGCAGTGGGAGGGGCTGGCCAGCAGCCTCAAGTGAGAAACAGGACGGGCCGCCAAGAGCCGGTTTCACCTCAAAGTTGGGGACAATGGCGCCCGACTTGCGCTGAATTTTCTCGCCTGGAACACTGGGGGGGCCGGGGGTACCAAAATCCTCGACGTCCTCCAGATGCTCGTGGGGGAGACCTTGTTGCAATGCACGCTCTCCAAACCTATGGTCGTAGCCCTCCAAGAGGTTATCTGCGACACGGGGACCCATGTCGAGAGCTCGAAAGCTTGGACGCTTGTCATGGGCAAGACGGACACAGAGTGGAGAGGAGAAGGCATTGCGTGCACCACCAAACACTACCACCACACACGCACAGAACCATGAAGGTGCGCTCACTGTGATTCTCTCTGGGGGAAATGTACCCACCGTACCGCTTGAAGCAGCAGTGCAAGCCGCCACGCCACGTGCTGACGTGGGGGTCATCTCGGCCCACCTCCCGCACCGCGCCACCTTGGAGCAGACCCAACCACTGCTGGTAGTGAAGCGGTGTCATGTCATGTAAGTTTGCACTAATCCAGCCCCGTACCGAGAAGAACAAGGAGTCAACTAGGGGGTTGAACTACGTAGGGCCTAGCATTCTCCGATAGGGGCGGTCTGGTGTCGTGTTGAATGGGGACTCCGAACACCGTAGCAGCTGTAGAGCAAGCTGGGGCCGCAGAGCAGCACATGTTGGACAGGAAACGAGGGGTGTAGAGAGGAGAGGGGTGTAGTGTAGGGGGGGCATTCTTAGCCTGGGCCCTGGGGGCACGAAAACAGTCCAACATAGACATAGAGCAGCCTGCAGAGCCGAGTTTCACCGCCGACCCAAGGAACAGAACAGGCAGGGCTTGAACTTAGTGGGGCGCTTTGGGTAGCAAAGGGTGCTCTGTGTTGCTGTGTTGCTGTACGGTTGTCTTTGGGGGAACGGTCCAGCCTGTAAGGGTCGACAACACAAGGTCTCACGGCGGACGTGGTGTGAAAGGGGACGGACATATGGGGGCGTAGCATGGATACAGGGGGGTATGGGGGGGCATCCACCACACAACTTCACACCACCGTCTCCCACCGAACCCACGTACCGCTCCAAACAGGGGCGGGCGATGACGCCCGGGGGCTTCGGCCTCCACGCCCTCCGAAAGAAAGAAAGAAAAGGAAGAGTGGAAAACGTTGCCAGTGAGCGCGGCGCCCACACACCCACACCAGGCCACACCGACAAGCAGCACGCAGGAAGATAGCAGGAGCAGCAAACATATCATGGCAGGCCCCTGACAAGGTGAACCACGTGCACTCAGCCCAGCAAAAGCAGCCGCGAAGCCAGAGCCAGACCTCCAGAGGAGGAGGAAACAAGGACACGCCAACAGACTTGAAAGGAGCAGGGGGGCAGTCTGAACTCCATGGCCGTGAGAAACAACAAGGCCCGAAAAAGCCACAGGAGAGAACAGCCGAAGAACAGCCGAAGAACAGCCGAAGAACAGCCGAAGAACATGAGAAACAAGCTTAACAAGCAGAAAGGAGACCGGGCAGAGAGGGCAGAGGACCACGATTAGCATGCCGAGCGTCCAACTATGAAACGAACTGTGGGTAGATGCCAACGGGAAGGGGCGCGAAGAACGGCGCCCAGATCAGAATGGAGGAGCAGGCGACACACCGAGTCACCGAGCAACCTGAAGAGCAAAAGTGAGCGCATGACTTTCAAGGGGCGAAGGGGAGGTTTCGTTGCCAGGGTGAGGCCTTCGGGACGTTTGGGGGATCCTTGAATGGAGTGTGGCAGCAGCAGGCGAAGAATGCAAAGAGAGAGAGAGAGAGAGAGGGAGCGAGGATGGGGTCGGCTCTGAGTTGTGTCATGTTCTGTCCAACTTGCGCCTTAAACTGCTCCAAGCATGAACCCTTACCACATTGCGTCGTGTCCAATTAGGATGCGCGGCGTTGAAGATGCTTATGCGATCCTCGAGACTGCCGCGCTAGCGGCTGCTTACGGCCAACAAGACCAGGTTGACAGCTTACGCTCGCTTACCCAGGAGACCTTGGCGGGTGCAGCACAAACATTGGGAGTTCGGGTAGCGGACTGAGCGATTGAGCTTGGACCTGAATCAGCATATGCTGGGGCCATGCTGCCGGCATTGCTGGTGTCAGGAATCTTGCTACGTTGGGCATTTGGACCTTGAGGTGTGTGTGTGTGTGTGTGGTCGCCCAAAGCTCGTCCCAAATTTCTTCCACATCGTACTAGCGAGCCCGTGTTGCTAGCCTTGAACTACGCCGACTGTTCTTGTGCGAGGATGCGCTGGCTCTTATGGAAGGAGCTGCCGATTCCCTGTTTGCGTACCTGGGTTTGTGAAGTGGCATGTTGCGAGCCGCAGTCAGACAAGTCGCGTGCTTGTATATTCTGCAAGCGCATATGCCATGTCTCCAAGGTATTGGGAGGGCAAAAACTCCTCGTGCTCGCAGCTCGGCTTGACTTGAATTCACGAAGTTTCTGGCAGTACGGGCTTGCAGTGCGAGTCCAATAACGGAAGACGCCGGAGCTCTAAGGCCACAGTGCCTGACATAAAACCATGTCAAATGGTACCGCAACGTGCTTGTCACAAAGCAACTACAATCTTGGGTGGCTCCCCTGTGATCAAGCTACTGAATGTGCTTGCGCACTAGTCTCGAGCCACTGTCTTCTAAGGACGGTGCACTTGATGCCGAATGAGTATGAGGACCTGCTGCTGGAGGCATCCGAGATCTGTGCTCCTCGGCGTGCTGTGGTCAAAAACCGATGCCGCGACGTAGTTGCAAAATTCCAGTGTCACTTCTGCTTGACAGCAATGAACAGAACTACACCAGCTCGCAGCAACAATTGGTCAGAATGCCAGCGCGAAAGAGAGCTACAGCTCATTCTGAACAAGCGAGCCTCCGATGGACAAGGTCACGACACAGATTGCACCACAATGGCATACGCACAGTACGTACGCGTAAAGGATAATGCACGGCCCCAAGGATTCCACCTGCCTTGAGAACTCGAGCCAGAGCCATCTCTTTTGAACCATTCATTGCAAACCAGTTCCTGCAGATTCGCTAGCCATTCAGAACTCAACTCAGGTTCTGACCAATATGGCATTGAGCAGCGGCATACAGACTGACCTTGCAGGTGTCAGAAAATCCCTTGAGAAGCTCATGCTGGGCTACTTTGCACCTCCCCTCCCTGCGCCACCGAGCCAGACCGCTTTCGACCTTGTTCTCCACGTGGAACAAGCAGTTCGCAACTGGGAGGCTGCGGCGGTTGGCACAGCCGCCATCACAGCCGCCATCGGCGTGTGTGAGACGGCACAGGCTGTTGCGGACAGGTATGTTGAGGATGGCATGGCGGAGCACTCAGAGTGGGAGGGAGAGAGGGTGAAGCTCGTCAACTGGCAGCGCGCGCAGGCTTCGCAAGTCTTCTCTGCAGCAGAGAGAGGAGAGGCACAGGCCCTGACGCGGGCCACTCAGAGCTTCGAAACCGCGCACGCCCTCCTCCGCGATGGCAACGGCAAGGTTTCGCCAATCACGCCGGAGCGAGGTGATCTCTTGCGGCAGTGGAATCAGATTGACGTGGCCTGGGCCAGGTTCAGGGCAGAAGCCGAAAGCCAGAATGTGCAGTCAATGAGGATGGCTCTGACGGATTTGCAAGCGGCGTTGGTAGCAGCCGTTCCGCTGTTTGGAGTTGCTGACCGACCCAGCTCCCAGATATCACCCTGGCTTTTAGTGGCCACGTATTGCGGCATGGGTTTGCTGCTATTTGCCTGTGGGTGTGCGGGCTGCATGATTTTTCTTCGAACCCATCGACAAAAGACGCCTGACGTCCCGGCCAAGTCAGACAAGGTCTGACCATTAGGCTGTGGGTGGCTGTGGTTTGTCAGGGTGACAGGGGCATTCAGCGAGCCAAAGCCGCCAAGGGAAAGCCTTGAAGTAAAGATCTGGCCCAGCTCATGCCCGACAACGGGATGCCAGTTGTAACTCTTTAATCTGCCTTTTTGTGCCTCGACCAGACGGCGCCGCGTAATTCTTTAAACTGGTTCTTTGCTTCACCAGCCAGGTGCTGGCAGGAGCCGCTTCCCAGTCTTCCGCATCGCCCTGCATCTTTTACAGCTCAGGAAACTTGAGCTTGTAGTGTTCTGAGAGCTTGCGATCTTGCGAGTCGTCGCAAAATCGCTTTCCCTTTCGATTTGGGTGCGAGGTCCAAGTTGCTTTTGTGAAGATTGAGTCCGGGTTAGCGGACAGGTGGCTATTCAATATGCTCCAGGAACATCCAGGTACTGTTGCTCTTGAAATGGCATCCTGCCAGGATCACAGACAAGCCACTGCTGCCTTTATTCAGGCTCTGTGTACGATTCCTGCTCGTTTGGCCGGGGCTTTCGGGACTTGTCGACAGTCTCAGGGTCGGTGAGGCGCGCTTCGTTTGGCACATTAAATGATGCCAATCCTTGCCTGTCGAGTGCCAGCTCTGTATTTGGATTTTATGCAACAAGGCGGATGCTGGGTGCTTTGTGGGCAGCTTGACTGAGCTGGACGCGGCCACATGCTAAACATCTCAGAACTCTGTAGATGCTGTGGATTAAGAGCCCTTGGAGCGCCAAAGAGCTTTCTGTGACAGCGACAGTCGGCTTACAAGTTGTCACGCCCCGCAATTTCAACACGTCGACCCACAAGCTTGATTTGATGGTCATGGTTTGGTAGTTTGCATGCCAGTTGGTCTCACTTGCTGATCGCCTAGCCAGGCTTGAGCATAGCAGCCTGTATCCCACCATCAAAGAAAGCAGCTCCTACACAGACTTCTGCAGCATGGAAGCATGCCCCGGTCCAGGTTTTCAGCAGTACCTTTTGCAAACTGAACCTGCGCGATGGAGGCATGCAAGTTTCCTCTTGGATCATACTCGCCCAGAAAGAACCCAAGACCCCCAAAACTCTCAGTTGAAACTGGGAGGCTCTTGCGACGACAAGGGAGTTCAACTACCAGATTAGAGCTTGTGGCAGCAAGCCTTTCGGCAGCAAGCGCCAACCTTCAGGCCTTATAAGGAGATTAGAGTAGAGAATGGACCGATCGTGCCTCTAGATGCAATGTTGTGGATGAAGCTGGGTCAAGACTATCAGACAAAGACATCAGCTCGCAGAGCTGTGTCTGTTGCGCTTGGGTGGTACTCTGCAGACATAATTCAACATCATTGTGTCGATGGGCTGTATGCCGCTCGTTGGCTTAGGTGGTCGGAAGCCCTGTGGTTGCTTCAGGTGATGCCAGAGGCTCGCCTCATGTGATACAGGAATAGTGATACAGGAATAGGGAATTCATGCTGGCATTTCAGCTGGCAGCTTGCCCGAATCTCGACCTAGGATCCTACCACAATGCATTGCAATAGCGGCTGCGCATGTTTTTTTTTCTGATAAAGAACCCGTAGAAAAGAATTAAAACCCGCGGGCCCAAAAAACAGAACCGGCAGAATACAAATGAAAACCATCGCCGACCGAGGGCTGCCATATTCATTTTTGTTCCGATGATTTTTTCCTTATGATGGATGTATTCGGCCGGTTTGCTCAAGTTATTCAACTTCCATGGCCCCCAACCCTCACCCCCCTCCCCCAACCTCCACCCCCTTCAACCGCCCCTCCCTGTTCAAGCTGACGGCCTCAGCGATGCCCACCATTACCTGCTCCTCGCACTGGCGTCAACCCACCTCACCATGCACCACTCCTCATCCCAACCATTGTTGCCAACGTTCAAACTTCAAACCCAACGTTTACCCACCAGCTCGTCATTCCCACGATTCCCGTCCTTACTCATTACCCGCTATTTCCACCATTTTCCACCCTGTCCACATTTTTTCCGGCAGTACCGCCATTCCAAACCATAGCCCTTTACCCACCATGACCCGTCGTACAACACCAGTTCGCCTCGCCGCCCTTCCTTCCCCACCATTCCTCACTACTCCTACCATTCCGGAAATTCCCCCCCCCCCCCACCCCCATTGCCCATAGCCATCATCACCATCACACACCAGTGCCCGTGATTGCCACCATTCCCACCCCCCCCCTCCCCCACCCCCAACACCATTCCCAACATTATACACCCTTTCGCACCTTGTCCACCCACCACACAAGACCATTCCCCGTCGCACCAGTACCCATGAGTCCCACCCCTATTGCCACCCGACCATTCATCACCCACAATTCCCAGTGCCTACCAGTCCCACCACTGCCGCCATTCCCACCATTCGCCAAAGTGCTCTGCACTTAGGAAAAGGTGCTGTTAGCTTGGGTCGAGTTGCAGATGCTGAACTTTTCTGTTCCAAACCCCCCCAGACAGTTATTCTGTCAGCATCGAGGGTAGTAGAAACTGAGCTCTTCTGCCTAGCCTGAACCTTAAACCCTTTTTTAAACTCACAATCCGGCCCCCCAGACTGCGAAGAAAAAGTACCAGTAGCATAGAATTAAGAACCCGCGGATTAGGATCGGGGAGGGGGGGCTGGGCAAGGCCCAACAAAAGAATCGGCAGAATAAGCATGAAACCGTCGCCGACCGAGAATAAAGAAAAACACCCCGAGGAGGGGCAAAAAATGCCCAACGATACTGCTGGCAATGGGATTCACGCACTCATGGGACATGGCCAGGCCAACTGCGACCCGAATGTGGTGTCGTACACCTGGGCTCCTCGCCTGGCATCTAGTGCTCTGGGGACTCCTTTCCGACATTTTCCTATCCAGCCGAGAAAGGCCTTGCAGTGCTGCTTACGTGGCGGTGCACCGGATGTGGCCCAGGAGCAAACGATGTTAAGGGAGGGCTGCAGCGGGGAGCTATTGGGCATGGTTTATGGTTGAGACTAGGACGGTTGAACCTTATCATTAAGAGGTTGGTGAATTGGCCACGAGAACCGAAATAGCTTGCGTGGATGACCGCGATGCTTCAGTGCTCATAAAGAACTCAATATCCAATGCCTATATCTCAGCAGCCCACCCCCGACCGGCCACAGCAGCATCTTGTGCCCAGTTTTGCCCAGAAAACGAAGCCATGCAGCAACCATACCAAAAAGGATCCCGTGTTTGTATGGCAGGAGATCCTATGCGATATGGCAAAGCTCGAAGTGCCACCAGCATCTTGGCACTGTTCGAAAACGAGAGGTAAAGTAAACGCTTGTGAGGGAGATGCCACAGGGACCCGAACGAGACAAACGAGTCAGGCACAACCCGGACGAACCAACTCGAACCAAGCTGTTCAGAAGCCACAGTGGAATAGGCTACTGTTGCCCACCTTCGCCCTTCAAGGGAATGCCGGAGCTCCAGGCTGCAAGATCTAGTCCAGTCTGGGGTTCAAGAGTCGGCCTCAAGTCCCACGCGTCTAGGAGTGAAGCCCGAAGGCAGAATTAAAACCGCTAACCCGAAGCTCCACTCCGAAACCCAAAACACTTGTTTTTTGGGGTTTAGGGCCGTTTAGGGTTCAGGCCTTAACCCCCAAACTAAGTATGGGCGGTGCATGGCCAAGCGGCTGGCAAAAGAAACTCAATCCGAACCCCTCTAAGCCCTAAGCCCCACACATTGCAATCCAGTTCCTTTTCGAACGTGCACCTTGAACCTAACAACATGCCCAATGATGAATGACGACTCGCCATGTCCAAACGATGGAATAATAAGATTTGCTCAGATTTGATCGCCAGGTTTGAGGGCGGGGGTGGTCAATTAGAATTTGAGTTGTTCCCAAGTAATTATGGGAAATATCATGACGGCAGATGAGCAAGATTGGCAACATTTGTCAGATGTTGCCATAGTACATGTTTCATGTACAGCTTGTAGTCCAATTTACTACGGTTTTAAAAGGGCACTTGGTTTTAGGGGGGTGAACCGGCTCCATTTTGGGGCCTCAGGCTAGATCCATGTCTTTTAAAGCAGCCTGTCATATACCGACACAACAACTAAAGACAAGCAAAGGCAACCCATGCTCAGGCAGCAACAAAAGCGTTCCAATGCCGCGTTTGTCGTATTTCAAGCACTTGTTCGTTCATGATAGCAGTGGCATTTGCGGCACAATGGTCACCTTAGCAAACTGCAGCCTGCTTGCCCTTTCGAGGATGCCAAAAGCTGCACAGCGGCCATCCGTACGTGTGCCGCCGCCTGGCCAGTTGCGCGGTGGTGTTTCCCACATTCGTGTGCGGTCCTATTCTTTCTACTTGAACATTTGCAGACCAGCTGGGAAATGAACAGTTTGGAGAAGATCCTTGTGATGTTGGGCTGGCACAACATCATACAGGATGGCACGTGACTACACTGAAGTGTATCTGATGGCATGACAAGGTGTACCTCGTATGTTTTGCCCCGCATTCTACAGCACTCGCGTGGGGCTCGTCCAAGCGCATGTGGCAACTGAGGACGGCGCTCTGTGGGAGCATGCCTTGAGCTTTCTGAGCCTGATGCCGGCTGTGCAGGCGCAAGAAGGGCGTGCACGTCCCAACGACGCGAAAGTTCCGGCCCTTTCAAAGCCGCTGTATGGGGACCCGAGGCAGTTGAGGTGGAGAGAAGAGCTCCAGGTTCCAACTTTAACATAATTCACGCGTTCCTCACGTTGAGCCAATGCCCAAAAACCATTGCGAAACTACTGGTCTTCTCCAGGCTGCACTGGTCTTGTTCTTGGACATTCAGACAAAAGCCCCGACACCTGCAGCATGCCTCTTGATTCTGACACCTTACAGTGGCAGGTGCCTGTCAACGTGGTGGCTTACAACAGTGCCTTCTGAAGGAAAGGGGGATAGGCTCAAGGGATTGGTCAAGAGTTCTGGCTTTAGGCGGCTCTCGTGCAAAGCAGTGTAGCGCAACTGGCTGTAGTCTGCCCTGATTCCAAATGTTTCCCCTTCGGTAAGAGGGTGTTGGGAGGGAGGAGAAAGTGTATCATTACAACAGCCTCGTGGGCCAGGAGGACATCATCTCACAAATTAGCCTCCTCAAACAGCAATCGCTCCACACCACGATCTTCTGAAACAGTTTTGCTTCCACTTCTGACCCTTTCATGCTGCGAAGTCGAGGTTGTTCGCTTTGCTGTTTTGTTGTTTAATATTGGCGGGGCCTTTTTCGCCGTATTCGCCCAAGCACGTTCTGTTCCGACTCGGCGGGTCCCTGTTGGATGGTCAGACAATATCCTTGAGATTGCTGGCGAGTTAACAGCTCCTCAGCTCTTCCTCTGCCACGGGGTCGGCAGGCGAGGACCCGAGGAAACATGCTTCGAAAGTTCGAGGAGGGCAAAACCGGCAAAACTGCTTGTGAATGGGAGCTTCCGAAAACCTGGCAGCTTCGAAAAGAGACGCAATGTGTGACTTGGAGTTTCGAGAGCTGGTCAACAGAGCGAAGAGGCCAACCTTGTGGTATTCTAGGGCCCACCACTTGGAACACGGGGGGAGGGGACCTTGACCCCCTTATCGAGAAAGGAGTTCTGGCGGTTTCGATGCTCAAAGTTGGGAGCTTAAAGCATAGAGTAGACAAAAGGACCCAGGTTGAAGGCTTTGCGTGAATAGCACCCTCCGGGAGCTCATTGTTTCCTAACTTCAGGTGCCATCTACGCTTGTGGTCGGGGCAGGTGGGAAGCTGCGTTGGAGGTCTTGTCCTCGATGCCGCGTGGCAGGTTTAGCAGTTTGGGTGGGCTGCCGGGTCAAAATAGAGCCGTTTGCCTCGCCCACTTCTGCTTGAGAGGCGAGACTCAGATCATGTCGAATTCGTCGTGCCCATGTGGTGCTGCATTATAAACCGCGCATGGCTTGCAGACGACTGCCACTGCATCTGGACAAGATTCACCCACTCCCTCGCTCCATTTCCCGCTCCTGCTCCCGTTCCCTCCCCCTCTCCCTCTCCCTCTACGAAAGGTCCCGGCAACAGATCCCGCGCGACATCATTAGCTACAGCGCCTTGCCAATGACTGTGACTTGCAGCCATAACATACATGCTGAACGATAGCTCGAGAGACCTTTCTTCGGAAGGGCGCGCGTTCCGTGCACAGGCTCGGCAATCAAAGCCTGCTCCACTGCGCGGAAGTGGGAACAAGCGTTGCCCCTGAGCTGGAGACAGCGTCGTCAGTGTGAGTGAGCATGAAGTGTTCAGCAGCATCACGGGCCTCAAGGAAGGGATTGTGCCAGGTGTTTGCTAACCAGAGAGGTTTGAGGAACTGCACAAGACTGCACGAACTGCTCACCCAGGCAAGTCCTGGAGCATGCCGATGGGGCTGGGCTGGCGTTAGATGCCAAGATCTTCAGTACCCTGGAGTGAGAGCTTCGTCAGAACGTATTTTCGCGTAATGCCGTCTCCTTATTTAACACTTTAACAGTTCCACTGACCCAACGACCTGAACATCGCAACTGCTTTCCAGCTTCATGGCATGCCCAGGACCTCCTCCTTTCGGGGTAACGTGCTCAGGTTGAGTCGCCCCGACCCTCTGAGGTTCTGCAGTGGACAGCTGCCTCAACCAGTGGCCCGCCGCGCTGGAGCTGCTGAGGCTTCGGGGGAGTGAGGGGCTTGGAGAGAAACCAATGGGCAATGCATGCCCGGCCTGGCTTCAGGTGCCTGCGGCAAAAGCGGCTCCCCCCAGACGCCCGGCCTTGAACCCTGATGCGTGGGAAAGATAAATTTTCTCTGTTCCATACATGCAATGCCCTAAAACCACCACGAACCACCCTGAACCCCAAGTTTGAAAACCTAAAGCCACCATAAACCACAGAAGGGAGGAGGGGAAACCCGAAACCTAAACCGACTTAACCACAAAGGAAAGAGGGGAAACCCTAAACGTACACCTCAACTAGTGCCAACAAACACTAAAACCACAACAAAGCAGAGTAGAGTGAGAACCTTAAACCCTGCAGCCTTACCGGGCAACCTAAACCCAAACTCAAACCCACCATGAAGCGCGGCGGAGGTGGCGGGGATATCAGGGTGTGTGCAGCGCCTGAGTTTCGCTGATGTCGTGAGGTCTAAGTCGAGTTCTTCTGTGACAAGTCCCGCGAGCCAAAAGCCCGGCGTATGTAACAGGCCCCGGTCATCTTATCGGGGTAACAAGGCCATTCTTCTTGCGAAAAGCTTCCGCACGACAAACCTCCGCGGCAAACCCTTCCTTGCCACCATCTTGCGAATCTGGGAGCCCTCAACAGCCCGCCACGATGACACAACCGGGCGCGACAAACGCATGCAACAGAGGCGGGGGGTGGGACACCGCGACATACCCCCATTTAGACTCGCAGCCTTATCGGACCACTGGGCTATGCAGGTATTGAGCCTTGGGGTTCCAGGCCTTCAGAAGTTCGATGCTCCCACGCCTGGCCCCGAGATTATGAATCACCCGGAATGAGAGTACGAAGGATATTGAACGACCCGGCTCATTCTCAGGACGTGTACTCCCAAACCGCTGCGCTAGCCGCCCTTGCTGCAGCCGGCGAGTGGAGGAGCTGTGTGCAATGATGGTCATATGTATACAAACAGAATATATATATATATATACATACATGATACATACATATATGCCATGAACACACACACACACAGAGCCACACCCACACCCACACCCTCACCCTCACCCACACGCACACTCACACGTCCCCTTGTCCGAACGTCTAACAGCCACTTGTTTTGCCGGGGCTGGCGGGTCGTTTTCGCACAAACGACGGAAAACTACTGAAGTGTGATGTTGGGCTGGTTCATGGCAGTTCATGGATTCTCCATGACCAATAACACCCTTAGCAAGCCACGTGCCAGGAGATCTTTGGCACTTCTCTTTGCCATGCCGAAGGCTTGCTGCACATGTTGCTGAAGTGGCCTTGTCTTGAATCTCTGGGAGATGTCTGGCACCACCGCTAGCGCATTCGTATGCAGCCCGTGCATACGATAGATTGCACACTGCCAAGGGCTGCCAGCACCTCTGCCCATGTTACATTGCTTGTGACTTTCTCTTTGTGCCCTCAGAAGGAAGTTCGTGTCTTTGGGCTCCGAGGGTCTTCTGCGCAACGCGCACTTCTTGCACATTGCAGGCCAAGGTCTTCCCGACCGTGGTGACCTATGGAGCTGCGATCAGCGCATGCGACAAGGGCAGTCAGCACCTTTGCAGATCTTAGCTTGTAAGGACATGGGCTCCAAGTTTTGAGGGTCTGAACTACTGCGGTGCGAGCGGCCCCAAAAAAATGAAGAGAAACCCTGGCCCAGGTGGCAACTCGGCTTGAGCCTGTTGCAGCTCATGAACCGCCGCTGCTCCTTTGCATTTTGACCCCTGACATCTTGCAGCATTGTGCCTGCTCTGAGCATGTGGCACCAAAGCTTCATTGCAGGCCAAGTGCCTCCAGATCGCGTTTGTTGCTTGGCACTTTCAGCTATGGAATCGCAGTGCCGCTTTTTTCCTTTCTAGGGATCTTAACTTCAGGAGCTCTTCTGCCTGTTTGATGAGCTGGGAAGCTCCCCGCCAGAGGCGTTAGCTCTGCGGTTGCAGCCTGCGGCCGGGCCTTGCGCTGGGACCATGCCCTAGACGCATGGACGAAGAGGGGTGCTCAGGGGAATGTAGGTCTTCGGTCAAGGTGCGAACTGCGCGGGCGCAGACAAACTCTGTCTCTGCAAGTTTCAAATTTCAAGGTCCGGAAAGGATACGAAAGCCCTCGAAGGAATCTGCAACCTTGCGATCAGAAGAGTTGAATGAACCACGTATGCGCCACAATCTCGAGTTGGCTCCCTGAACAAGAGAGTGTGCCCCCGATGTGCTACAATTTTCGCTTAGGCTTAGTAGGTCTTGTGAGCGGACTTTGTGGCAAGCTCAGCCCGAGACCAAGGCGCTCGTCTCCAGCTCGCCAGCGATGCAGCTGGTATCTGCAGCTTTGCTGATCTTTGTTTGGGCTTGGACCTAGTATTCAACCAACGACTGGAACCCGAGGCATAGCAGAAGCCAAATCAGGGCTGATGTGATAGGTGCGATTTCGTATTGTGGTTTCTGTAAGCTTGCATGGGTTCCTCAGGTTGTTGGTTTATCCTGGTCACTGGGATTTGTTCGTGCAAAGCCGTATGTCAGCAATATGCTTGAGACGGCGTCTGCCACGCAAGCCGATTGGGCAGCAGATCCTGGCAGAGTTACACAGGATAGATTTCGGTTCCTTTTGATCCTTTTGCTTTGAGGGCAAGTTTTTTCCCTGCATGCTTTCGAAGTTCAGTCCGGGAGACAGCTTTCCCAAGGATTTCGTCAGCTGGAGTTCTGTGGTTGCTGCATGCGCGAGTGCATTTAGCTGGTCCGAGGCCTGTCGTATTTCCCTGCTCCCTTGGGATTGTGCTTTCCGTGGGAATGCAGGATTGCACGATGTGTTCCAATCGGAAGAGGGGAGCAAAACTTGAGGATGTCTAGCCTGTGCCCCTGAGTCAAGCCTCGAGTCAGAAATCAGCCTGGATACCCCCTTGTGTGGGTGTTTTTATTCCGGGGCTAGTGAATCTACTGAGTGCCCGTTAACCTCTCTTGGCATCACTCAAACCATGATCCCATGCCATGCCCTTTCGGCAGGCCCTTTCTTTGGCATTGACACTTCGTGATGAGGCCGGACTAGGCTTATTGCGCATGATGATATCAGAAAGAGGGCTTCAATGCCTGGCGTCAAACCAAGTCCGGACATGATGCGTGTGTCAAGTGAAGAGCTGAAAGCCACGCAAGAACCCCAAATCGAGCGCCTCGGCTTGCGTCGTCTGCAGCTCCTTAGATGGCAAACCCTCATAACCTGGCCAGGCACCTGAGGGTTTTGCTCCGAACGGTGCCTTCGCCGCATTTTTTTTGGAGTGGCAAACTCGACTGCTTCTGCTGGGAGGGCACGCCGAAACGGCCAAAGTCTGGGTACCCCCTAGCCACGGGTCCTTGCATTGCATACCGGGCATCGTGCATCGTGCACATGAGAGAGATGCTGGAGATACGTTGACCTATGTGGACCTCATACCGGCATGGGCCTCCTGTGGATTGCAGTGGTGATCCAAAGGAATTCTGTGGGGTGGCATCCTGGGCGCGATGGCTCGGGCAAGACAGGACATCGCTGCATTCTGCGTGCAGCGCGTGCTTGGAGGTAGCAAAGGGCTATCACATATTTCTCATGGTCCAGGGCTCGCCAGCCATGGTTCTTGCCCAGTATCTCCCCTCGTTTCAGGACACTTCAGAGCTCGCGGAGCATCTCCGCAGCGACTGGGGTGCCAGAACTGCTTTGCAGGCAGAAGTGGTGGACCAGGCCGCATGGCACGCGAATAGATACCTTGAGTGTCGGCGCTTCACTGTCCCACGGCTTTCAAAGTAGGAGCTCACAATGACTTGGAGGTATCTTTTCAGAACTTTTAGGGGACGGTGCAGTGAACACAGTCGCTCGCATTTGAGGTTGTGGCGCATGGACATGCTGGGAAAGCATTCGTGCATGCTGTGAAGCAGATGCAAAGCAGATGCAAAGCCATGCACTGCTATGAAATACCTATATGAAAGCCAACCCCCCGAGCTAAGGAGGAATTGGGCGAAGGCAGGCGGAGCCGAGTAGCGCGCTGGCCTTGTCATCATGACTTCCTGTGATATATGTATAATATTGAATGGCTGCCGCCAGTGCCGCCGACCCCCGAGCCATCCAGTAGCCATATATATATATATATATATATATGCTACCCCCCCCCCCCAGCGACCTACCCTTTTTAGGCCTTTTTAGGCCTTTTTAACAAAAAACAAGAAATAAGGCCCAAAAGTCGCGTAGTTAATCACCAAGTAATGAAGGACAGTTACTGGGACACCCACCTCACAGACCCCGATAAGCCAGCATTGGAAGAATCTACATTTTGAATCTGAAGCGGACAATGCTGTTTTTAGATGTTTAGATCAGTGTTTTTCTATGCAAATTGTGCGTTTCAAGGGCAATTAATGTTTTGTTGAGCAACTAACTTATTTATACAATTGTGTTTGTACGAGGCAAAGTATTAATCAAATAGTGAAACATTTTTCTTGCTTCTATGCGAATTTAGCACCTAGAGCAATTATTAAGCAAAGAGCCCAATTTGACTCAAGTGAATACTATTTAAAGGAGCATACTCAACCAAGATACGAAATAAACACCATTCTCAACCAAAAATGGCAAAGTGTGCGTTTAAAGTGCAAATACTGTATTTATACAATTGTGTTTGTACTAGGCAAAGCATGCTCTCTGAAAAGTCCACTGAAATACCTTATGTTTATATATTCATGAATCGTTTTTATTTTTGAAAAAATCATTTTATGCGAATTTAGCTACTAGAGTAATGATTAAGCAAATAGCCCAATTTGACTGAAGTGAATACCATTTAAAAGACCATACTCAACCAAAATACGAAAGAAGCACCATATTCAACCAAAATATGGCAAAGTGTGGTTTAAAGGGCAAATAGTGCTTTGTTGAGCGACTAATGCATTGAAACAGTTGTGTTTATACCATGCAAAGTATTATTGAAGTACTATCTGCAAAGTCAAATGAAACACCTTATGTTTACATATTCATGAAACAATTTTTTTGAAGTATTCATTCTATGCGAATTTAACTACTAGAGGAATTTGACTCAAGTGAATACTATTTAAAGGACCATACTCAACCAAATACGAAATAAACACTTGCGGAAATGGAAACGGTTCTACCTACATAACAATGAGACACAGATTGCTGAAGTATTCACTAAAGACCACTTATATACTATGTCTGAAAAGCACAATTTGCATGCGCAAGCTTAAAAATGCACAATAATGGAAATAGAAGCGGATCTACTTACATAATGATGAAACAAAGATGTCTGAAGTATTCAGTAAAGACCACATATATACTATGCTTGAAAAAGGCAACTTGCACAATCAGGCTTAAAAAATGCACAAGAATCCTAGAAAAGTACTTTGTGAAGGCCATGCACAAGCAATTTCACAAATACAAAAAAACATCCAAAAGCGCAAGCTTTTCAGGAGAATCTCTGGTAAAGTTTGGATTATAGGGTTTTGGGGTATTCCTGGACGAGTAGGAGTCACTTTTTAAGCAAACAATTCTAAGCAATAAATGCTTTTTCTCAAGACAAGTATTGCAAATGCTGCTTCTAGATAATTAATCGCATTTACCAGGCAAATATTATCCATGCGAATTGAGCTACCAGAGCACCAAGTAATGGCTGAATAAGGTCTACTACACTTGAGTACAACCAAAAGATGCACTAAACACTAGCGGCTCTACTTACATAATAACGAAACAAATAGTTCTGAAGCACTAGAAAGACCACTTGTATACTATTTCTGAAAAGCACAATTAGCGTAAGCACACTTAACAATGCGTAGTTGTTGCCTCGTGACCGTGAAGGCGAGCTAAAAAGCCAAAATACCAAAACCAAAAAACCAAAAAAACCAAAACCAAAAAAACCAAAAAAACCAAAACCAAGAAAACCAAAAATACCAAAAAAACCAATTTTCCGGGACTCTCAGGAAATCCCTATGAGGCTTCTCCAAGAGTCCCGGAAAATTGTGTTTTTTGGTATTTTTGTTTTTTTTGGTTTTTTTGGTTTTGGTTTTTTTGGTTTTGGTTTTTTTGGGTTTTTTTGGTTTTGGTTTTTTGTTTTTTTTGGTTTTGGTATTTTTGGTTTTTCTACTGTCCCGTGTATGCGATTTTAGTTGTATTTTAGTCTACGCCCTAGGAAATACGCTATATTGCACACCGAGTTTGCTTGCAGTGCAGCTGGGTGACTTGAGACAAGGCGAAAAAGGGTAGGTCACTGGGGGGGGGGTACCATATATATATATATATATATGTATAGAAGGCACGAGCAAGGAGCCCCTGTCACGGCCAGGCTTTTCTGGAAACAGCAGCAACACAGGTCAGCACAGGTAAGCGCTGTTACGGTGAAACGCCTGGAAAAAGCGCTGGAGCCGGCTCTGCCAGCACTGTTGCTCTGCATGAAGGTATTTACGGACTTTACAGTTTCGGTTTAGGTTGGAGGCTTTTAAGGTTTGCGTTTAGGGTTTAGGCTTTCGGGTTTAGGGTTTAGGATTGAGGGTTTAGGGTATCGAGTTTAGTGCGGCCGCCGCGAGGACTTGCGGCGCCGCTGCAGGTGACCTGGCATGATAGGAATGCTAAGCCCTGGCAAGGCTCCAGACACCTCAGGTCGCTGGTTGTATCTTTTGAGGAAGACGGGGTAGCCGTTTGAGCTTCACGTGTTCGAGGCCCAAGTGCTATCCCAATTTTGAAACAGTTCCTACGCTTTCCTGCAAGATGCAGTCTCCGCCTACAGCCAGATCCCTCTTAAAAAAAAAATTGGTCGTCGTCGAGCGGGTTGAATCAACATAGACGTACCTCGCCTGTTTCTTGCAGGCTTGATTCGTGCTTGCCGCTGCAGTTGCAGCAGCGCTGCAACCAGTGGTACAGACCTGTGCCCAGCTGCCGCCTTGGCGACAAGTTCTCTATTCCAATCTGACAGACGCGTCTGCCTGCTTTGCATGCTAGGTACCCGAAACCTCACCCTGCAATCATTACACATCCGGATCGCAACAGCCTTACTTTCCAAATAGCACTTCTTGCTTCTCATTCACACTTGGCCGGCAGATAAATTAAAATGGAGGGCCTATTTTTTTGGGTCTTTTTTTTTTTTTGGGCCTTTTTTTTTTTTTTTTTTCGATTTTCTTGGTTTTTCCTAAGAAAACCACCATTCCCTCCATATTTTTAAAGGATTTGATGCATTTTCGTGGTTTTTGGTACGAAAAACAGTAATTTCTCTGTGGTTTCATAGGAAAGCGTTATTTCTGGTACGTTTTAGAAGGAAAGAAGGAAAGAAAGGAAGGAAGGAAGGATGAAAGAAAGGAAGAAAACAAGGAAGGAAGGAAGGAAGGAAGGAAGAAAGGAGGGAAGGAAGAAAGGAAGGAAACAAGGAAGGAAGAAAGGAAGGAAGAAAGGAAGGAAGCAAGGAAGGAAGAAAGGAAGCGTGCTTCGAAGCCCAAGAAACTAGTTGAAAAACATCGTGTGAGCATTGTGTTTGCAAATGGGGGGGGCTGCGCCCCCCCCAACCCCCCCGCTTTTTTTGTTTTTTTTTTAAGCCGTGCAGAGCGTGCGTGCTTCAAAGCCCAAGAAACTTGTTGACACCCATCATGTGAGCAGGGTGTTTGCAAATGGTGGGGGGGGCTGCACCCCCCCCAACCCCCCGCTTCTTTTAAGCCGTACCAAGCGTGCTTCAAAGCCCAAGAAACTAGTGGAAAAACATCGTGTGAGCATTGTGTTTGCAAATTGGGGGGGGGGCTGGCGCCCCCCGCTTTTTTTAAGCTGTGCAGAGCGTGCTTCAAAGCCCAAGAAACTTGTTGACACCCATCATGTGAGCATGGTGTTTGCAAATGGGGGGGGGCTGCGCCCCCCCCCAACCCCCCACCGCTTCTTTTAAGCCGTACCAAGCGTGCTTCAAAGCCCAAGAAACTAGTTGAAAAACATCGTGTGAGCATTGTGTTTGCAAATGGGGGGGGCTGCGCCCCCCCCAACCCCCCCGCTTTTTTTAAGCCGTGCAGAGCGTGCTTCAAAGCCCAAGAAACTTGTTGACACCCATCATGTGAGCAGGGTGTTTGCAAATGGGGGGAGGCTGCGCCCCCCCCAACCCCCCCCGCTTCTTTTAAGCCGTACCAAGCGTGCTTCCCAACCCAAGAAACTAGTTGAAAAACATCGTGTGAGCATTGCAAATGGGGGGGGCTGCGCCCCCCCCAACCCCCCCGCTTCTTTTAAGCTGTACCAAGCGTGCTTCAAAGCCCAAGAAACTAGTTGAAAAACATCGTGTGTGCATTGTGTTTGCAAATGGGGGGGGGCTGCGCCCCCCCCAACCCCCCCGCTTTTTTTAAGCCGTGCAGAGCGTGCTTCAAAGCCCAAGAAATTTGTTGACACCCATCATGTGAGCAGGGTGTTTGCAAATGGGGGGGGGGGGCTGCGCCCCCCCAACCCCCCCCCCGCTTCTGTTAAGCCGTACCAAGCGTGCTTCAAAGCCCGAGAAACTAGTTGAAAAAAAAGTATGAATCCGATGAAAATATAGAGGGAATGATAGAAACCAAGAAAACGAACCAAATAGGGTTTTCCCTAGGACAAACTAAGGAAAAGCAACGTGCGCTTTGACGTTTGACGAAATCCGTCCAAAATGTAATCAGAAGAGGGTTTCCTTAGGAAAAACCAACGAAAACCTCGTTTTTTTTTCAAGCCGTGCAGAGCGTGCTTCAAAGCCCAAGAAACTTGTTGACGCCCGTCATGTGAGCAGGGTGTTTGCAAATGGGGGGGGGGGAGAGGTGTTTTCCCCCAACCCCCCCCGCTTCTTTTAAGTCGTACCAAGCGTGCTTCAAAGCCCAAGAAACTAGTTGAAAAGCATCGTGTGAGCATTGTGTTTGCAAATGGGGGGGGCTGCGCCCCCCCCAACCCCCCCGCTTTTTTTTGTTTTTTAAGCCGTGCAGAGCGCGCTTCAAAGCCCAAGAAACTTGTTGACACCCATCATGTGAGCAGGGTGTTTGCAAATG